TAGTTTAATTTTGATTTACATAAATTAAAAATAATACCAGTGTACAAACACTTAGTGTAAATTAAGTAATTTTCTAATAAATATTCAAAGTTCTTTGTTTTGAGAAGATTAAACACAGTTACGAAACCTTTTTTTAGGGTATATTAGGGGCCGGATAATTCGAATAAGAAATAGTTATTTGAAAAGTTTTTATTCGAATATTCACTGAATACGAATCTTCTCCGAATACAAATACAAATACATAAGCTCTACATACATACTGTGTATATAAAAAAAAGTATTAAATGTTATAATGTTCTTAGTTAATAATTCGACCATTTATCAAAATAATTACAGAGAAAATTATAAAAAGGCATGCAAATCGTGTTGGTACTTCAGGAGTATAATAGTTATTAAGATTTTATAATTTTGTATGTATAGTAGCATTCATAATGTTAAACTAAAAAGTCGATTTTTCAAAACATAATCTTTAGTTTCCAAATATAATTTATTCAATTTTTTTTTTTTTTTTTTTTTGATTACAGAATTGTTAAAATATTATAATAAAAATTATACATTAATTTTTTGGCTATTTTAAATGAAAGAAATATACCTAATATAAATAAGAACTAATAGTGTTGTCAATTCTTAATGGATGTTTTTAATAACAATAAATCTGCAATCATCGGCATAACAAACTTTATAGAATTTGTTATCTTTATAAATATTATACAATAAAGCCTTGCGACGGTATAAAACACGAGGTCCCAAATGGTAGTAATATTTATTAACATGTAATGGTCGTCTCCAACGGTAAATATACCTATGAGCTTGAATTGTGTATTTTGGTCCTATAATTGTGTTTTGGACCGAACCGGGAGTGCCTGTAAATGATACTGACGAATCTGCATTACCATCAACTGCCTCAACTGAATCTGCATTACTATCAACAGCCTCAAGTGAATCTGCATTACCATTAACAACCTCAGGTGAAATGTCTTCAGAATCGGAGGTGGTTGGAGAAGGATTTGATTCCATCTCATAAAGGTCTCCAGTTTCGGGTAATGAGTCGAAGGAAATTTCATCGATTTTTGGTTGGATTACGGCTGCAGCAATGAGATTGTGAACAATAGTGACAAGGAATATGAGAGTAATGATAATTTTTAAGGTAGACATTTTATTCTTTGGTGAATAAAGGCTAAATGTTTGTATTGTTATTATTATTTTTTTCCCATGAATATGGAAAATATTTATAGCTTTAAATACTTTTTTCTTTTAAAGTTTGTCGTGTTTTTCAATTTTAATAACTACTATTTGCCGAATACGTATTTTGATTCTAATTCTGATTAATGTTTTAATATGATACTTTTCATAAATCAAACAGAATTAAATTTTGATAAGTTATAAACATTAAAACCCAGGTTGGAACCGGTTTTAATAATTCGGGTTTATCACGTAAATTTTGTGATATTTTAGAATTTTATCCAATTAAATTTTAATAAATTCTAAAATATCACAAAATTCACGTGATAAACCCGAATTATTAAAACCGGTTCCAACCTCTACCCGGAGCCTAGTTTCCTTTAGCAACATTTGACAATTCTTCAGGTAGAGATAGATATATAAGTAGGGGTCTTATCCGGTCAAAAAATTTGTATTCGAATATTCATTTGTTCAATATTTTTAATATTCGAATATTCATTGAAAAATTTTGAATGAATATTCAAATATTTACTGAATATTCATTGATATTATATATAATATAAAATAATTTTGTATTTCATTAATATTATGATTAAGTAGTTGGCTAATAGCTAATATATAAAATTAGAAAAGTTTAAACCAATTTTAATTTTTTAAATATATGCAAAAATATAACCTATTTTAATACTAATTATTAAAATAATTTTAATTTTTAAATTTATTCAAAAATAACTTATTTTAATACTAATTATCAAAAAAAATAACTAGTTTAAAAAAATGTTTTAAGTTTATATTTTAATTTGTAAAATTCTATATCAATTAATAATTTAATAATTTAATTAATATAAAGTAAAAATAAGTTAAATATATTAGTGAATATTCATAGATAAATTGATTATTAAATATTCTTTATACTTATAAACTAATTTAATACAAATAGAGCAAATATATTAAATTATATTTAATTTTAGTTAACTAAATAATTTCTAATTATATATATATTCTTTGAATATTCAATAAATTATTTGGTAAATAAATTAAAATATTTGAATATTCAATTTAGTAAAAAATTATCTATTCAAATATTTGAATATTTAATTAATATTTGAATATATTATTTATTAGATCAGACTTTTATATTAACTCTTTCTTCTATTCCAAACTAACTTCTCTATTACATCTAACTACTTAAGCTAGCTGACTTGCTCATAGATCTATTTACCATACTAAGATCCTCTTGAGATATATATTGTTTAACATATTGTAAGTATGCAGAGTTTCAAAAGTAATTTCTACTAGAGTAGTCATATACTCATTTTACAAATTTACCTAGATTAAACCCTTATTGATATTTATACAAATTCAGTTTCTGCTATAGCTCTCTATTAGATTAGTTCTCTAAGATTCTAGTCAGATATTTTATGAAGTAGATCTTCTTAATTTAGTTAGCTACTAAGCCAAGTTAGTATTACTATTTATACAAAGTATCAGATTGTATTATATAGTAAATTTATTTGTATCTACTCAATTTATATCTTTTGTACAGATTTTTTTACTAAATCAAATGTTACTAGTGTAACTATTAAAATCTATACTACTTTATTAAACTCAGAATTTCTACTATGCAGATCCTCTGTCTGTAGATTCTATTAAGATTTATTTATATAATATAACTTGAATATTGTATTACACTTTTAATATCTAATTAATATTAGTACAATATAATTTATAGAGTTATAACTTTTAGAAATGAACAAAGTTTACTATAAGTTAAGTACAAAAGTTCAGATAATTATTCAAATTCATCAACATAATATTTAAACTTCAGACTTTTTGCATAGTAGTCTAGTAATCTAACTACTATACTAAGATTGCTAAACCTTACTAGAAATTTTTTCTTTACAACTTTTAATAAAAGTACAAATAAGAATTATTTAATAAAAAAATAAGTTATATTTTAGTAAATTTTAGATTTTAAATTTAATAATAAATTTTACTACTTTTTATTATAATATTTTACTAGTTCTTATACAGATTATTAATTAAATTCTATTAACTTATAAAATTCAAATAAGAAAATTTTATTAATTTTAGTTAAGTAGTTATAAAAACATTCTTGCTTAAAGTTTTAAATAGTTTTAATTTTTTTATTTTTTATTTTTTATTATTAAGATAGCTTATATTTCTAAGCAAATTTTATTAGTTTGATATATAAGATTCTATATAGGGTTCTTCTACAGTTTGTAATTATATGAAGAGTGTACAACAAGCTATATATACAACTTTAGTCATTATCTAATTTAAGTAGTCCACTATACAGGCATTAGACTATCTGTTAGTATTATACTATGCTGCTATATCTGTAACCTACTTGTGAGTTACCTATTTAAACACTCTGTTCAACTAACTCATACTGTTACAAACTAATTTCACTGTAACATCTAACTGATTATATTAGCTAGTTTATTGCAGATCTATTTATCAACTTCAGCTTAAGTCCTCTCAGATTATGTTATACTCAATATATTATGAATATTTGCAGAGCTAGTTAATTTCTAAATATACTTACTAAAGTAGTTTGTGTCTATTTTATGAACTCACCTAGCTTAGACTCTTGTAGATATTCATATGATCCCAGTTTCTACTATAGCTCTCCACCAGTGTTATTTACAGATCTTGCTGAGGCCTATTATAAGTTAGATCTTTCTAATTCAGTTAGTGCCAAGCCAAATTAGTATTACTATAATATACAGTAATTCCTACTATAATACAGACTTATATGTATCTAACCTAATTAAAGTCTTTAAGTATAGTATCTTTTTGAATCAAGTATTAGCTAGTGTAACTATCAAAAGCTATACTACTTTATTAACTTAGAGGTTTTTACTATGCAGATCTCCTGCTTGTATATCTTATTAAGATTTATTTATATAATGTTATATCTCTCTAAATACCTTATTATACTTCTAATATTCAGATAATATTAGTGCAATATAATTTATAGGGTTACAACTCCAGAAATAAACAGGGTTTACTATAAGTTGAGTACAAAGGTTCAGATAATTATTCAAATTTATTAACAGTAGGATTTAAACTCCAGACCTCTTATATAACAGTCTAGCAACCTAACTACTACACTAAAATCATCAGACCTTAATTTTTTTTTAATTTTAAATAAAGATATCTTCACAACTACTTAATCAAAATTAATAATTTTTTTTTATTTAGAGAACTATTACTTATTACATATTATAGCCTCTTCTTCAGATTCAGGTTTTTAGAAACTTCTTAAAACTAATTATTTAGATCAAATATTTTAACAATTATAAGTTTTAAAATAATCAATTATAAATATTATATATTTTATGTATTTCTTACATATTTTATGTATCTTTTATATATTTATATATATTAATGCATAAATATGCATAAATATGCAAGAGGTGCATAAAACATATAAGAAGTATATAAAATATACAATATTTATAATTGATTATTTTAAAACTTATAATTGTTAAAATATTTGATTTAAATAATTAGTTTTAAGAAGTTTTTAAAAACCTGAATTTGAGGAAAAAGCTATAATTATGTAATAAGTAATAGTTCCTTTTAAATTATAAAAATTAATTTATAGAATTTAAATAAAATAATTTTTATTAATTTTGGTTAAATAGTAATAGAGTATCTTCACTTAAAGTTAAAAAAAAATTAATATATCTATTATAATAAATATCAAATTTTTTTAAAATTTTAAACTAAGATATCTTAACAAATCTCAAACTAAAACTAATAAAATTTTTTTATTTAAATTCTAAAATCTATAAAATTCAAATAAAATATTTTTTATTAATATTAGTTAAGTATTTATCAAGATATCTTAGTTCAAATTTTTAAAAAAATTTAATACAACTTCTATTTTAATTAGTATTTTAATTTTTTTCTAACTTTGTACAAAAATATCTTCACAACTATTTAACTAAAATTAATAAATTTTTTTTTTATTTAAATTTTATTTATTATTATAATTCAAATAAAAAAATTATTAATTTTAATCAGATAGTTGTGAAGATATCTTTGCTTAAGATTAGAAAAAAATTAAAATACCTATTAAAGTAAAGCTGTATCAAATTTTTTAAAACTTTAAGTAAGAATATTTCTATAACTATCTAATTAAAATTAATGAAATTTTTTTATTTGAATTTTATAAGTTAATAAAATTTAAATAAAAAAATTTTTATTAATTTTAGTCAGGTAGTTGTAAAGATATCTTTACTCAAAGTTTTAAAAAAATTTAGTATAGCTTTTATTTTAATATTTATTTTAAAAGGTCTAGTAATCTTAGTATAGTAGTTAGATTGTTAAACTGCTATACAAAAGGTTTAGAGTTAAAATCATACTATTGATAAATTTGATATAATTATTTAGATTTTTGTATTCAACTTATAGTAAACTCTGTTTGTTTCTGAGAGTTATAATTCTGTAAATTATATTGTACTAATATTAATTAGATATTAGAAATATGATATAATATTGTATAAATAAATCTTAATAGAATCTATAAGCAGAGGATTTGTATAGTAAAAATTCTAAGTTAGATGAAGTAGTATAGATTTTAACTATCATACTAGTTAATGCTTGATCTGAAAAAGAAGTCTATATATAAAAGATATAAATTGAGTAGATATATGTAAATCTATTATATGAATAGCAATACTAACTTAGCTTGATAGCTAACTAAATTAAAAGAATTTATCTTATAAATTATTTAGAAATATAGAAGACTAATTTAGTAAAAAACTACAAAAGGAACTAGATTTGTATAAATACCAATAAAGATATTTACTAGCTTAATTAGAATATAGTATAGCATAATTAGAATTATCTGCAAGCTTTCTTCTAAATAGAATTAACAGAGTACTTTAGAATAGAACTCTTCTTAATAGAACAATTTAAAGTGCAAGTTAGTTCTCAAA